CTCTCACACACACACAAACGTCTCTCATTTGCCACCAAAAAGCAGTGGTTGAACCCAGGCTAGTTTCTTGAACATATTGTAAAATGTGTATACTTTGAACATAAGGTGATTGGGGTTGCTTGTGGGAAGCTAGAGGGGATAATAAGAGTTCTTCCGAATGGTTGCTGTTCTTATTTACGTTGTACTGTAATATGAAGAACGGAAGCGAAAGTATGTCATTTTGGAACAGAATCAATTGGCAATGGAGAGTAGAAAAGCGTTTTCATTGTCAAATATCATATTGCTATATGATTAAAAAAAACTCCAGTAGTTTTAGTGAATAGAGTTATTCCCACATTCAGAATTTCATCCGGACATTGCCTCTTCGGATTATAGTTTGTTGCCCAATCCCTTTACGGGCGGCAACCTTGAACAGATTATCAAATAGAAATGTGTTCGTCTTCGATGAAATAGTACCTCCCATGGCAGCGAAGATTTGGCTCAAGAAAGAGTTAAAACGGCGCAACAAGAGGGCTTGTATTTTGAATTCCAGGCAGTTTTCGCTGTAGGGTAGCACATTATTAAAGTGGCCAAAATTTTGCTAAACTTATGTTTCTCAATACATTAGTTCAGAAAATTTGCAGCTATAGGTGGTTCAAATTCAAAACAATTTTAAGCGTTTGCAAACATTAAAAAAAAACGAGACAAACGCTTGCACGAAAGATTACACACTGGAGATTCAGTTTTCACGCTTCCTCAGTTCTGAACATTAACCAAGTTTCGCTGAACATTTGACAACCAAAGCTATTCAGGAATTTCTTAAATTATTTCTGTGACAGACATATAGTGCTATAGTGCTAATAAATCATTAAAAGCTAATTCGCAGTGACCTTTGGGAGTTCCCAGGTCAACTGGCAGAGAATCAAATTTATACACATCGTCTCTGCTTCCGGAATTCCGTCAATACAAATTTTTCTAGTTGTTTATGCACATATTAAACAGAAAATACACTCTCAAAACGAAGATTTATAAATTTAAATTAAACATTGCGCACCAGAAAACATAAAACATTTACTGTTTTTTCGTCGGGATTCGAATCGTGGTTCTTTCAGTTGTTTGCTGAACATTAATCATTTGACGCTATGCACAAGAGATTGAGAAATTCCTTACAGATTTCTTGCTAGAATGTGCATATATCTAATATAATTAATAATTTGGATTATTTCTTAAAATTCCTTAATCTCCGTTTTTTTTATCAGGTTGCACTTCAAAAACAGAATTGCGCCTTCATCATTGTGGAAACCGACAACTTTGAAAATAGCCTCGATCTGCGTGCATTTCAGAATGAACTGGTTCACATAGAGGACATACAGATATTGGTAATTAGAAGATAAAGCCAGGTGCTGCTCATAAACATTTAACATAATTTTGTTTCAAATATTTTACCTATAGCCGATCATCACATATCATCTAATAAAATAGAACTTAAGTTAAATGCACAATTATTAGTAGTTTGTTGTCAATCTTAAAACCTTTAAATAAACTCCTTCTGAAGAACTAGGTTTCTTAAGGAGATTATTTGCAAAGTTGCTATAAGTTTAGGTGGCGATTCTCTTTTATGATAGAAAAATTAAGAATCAGCTACAATTTGCTTCATTTATAAGTTGTTATAAAGCATTCCCTTTGTGTTTTTTAGTACTGATCTTGAGAAACGAAATGTTTCGTGTACATTTAGGAAAATATCAAACTTTAGAAAAACGGTTGCATAAACTCTATCATATTTTTTAAAAACATTTTATAATGTTTACAAAGACAACGCCAGCATTATAATTTTGTGAATGATTGTTATTATTTTCCATAGACAAATGAAAATATTTGATCCTTAAATGTTTCTCATGAATGATGAAAACATTCAATTAAACATTTAAATGTTTCCTAACATAATTTCAAATCATGAAGTTATTAATGATAATACATTATTTACAGAAGTAGAAAATTTACTCATTTGCTTAAAATTTACATATGCTTATTAATTTACATTATTTCATATGAATTTCAACACTTCCGTCAAATTTTCATCAATAAATGTAACCTTATTTTTATTTAAAAAGATCAGAAAAACTAGCATGAAAAACCAGAAAAGAAAAAGCAGCTTTTATGAATTTTTGAATGAGTAAACTAAAAACAACCTACTTTCTCTTAGAACATCTTATGTGAAGCGAATACACTCAAGACAGGAAGCCCTCGAGAGCTGTGTGTTGCAATAAATTACCTCCTTAACTTATCATGTAAACATTTTAAAAAGATAGATTTTTATAAGCAGTTTCTAAAGAATAACTTGAAAAGTTTCTGACTGAAGAGTTTTTAATGATGATTAGAATACATTGTTTCTGAAGAAGAGAGGCATGTTTTTAGTTAAGTGAGAGGTACTGAGCTTTCCGCTTGAGATTAATGCTAACATTATACAAATTATTAGAACTTAGTTTGTAATTCCTCTCTTATAATTGCTACTACCGTCTTGTCTTTTTCTGAAAATAAGACATCCTCCGAAAATAAGCCCTATCGTGATTTTCGGAACTTTTTGTAAAATAAGACATCCTCCGAAAAAAAGCCCTATCGTAATTTTTGGAACTTTTTGTAAAATAAGACATTCCCCGTAAATAATCCCTAGTTAAAAATAATGTGACAAAAAGAATTCGTTAAAGAAAGTGGGTTGATTTTATGCTGCCACCACTGTTGAGGGGTCAGAATAGAGGTTTACTAGTTTGGGATTCAGCCAGTACTCACCGCGCTAAAGACATGAAAAACTTTCTTGCTGAGAGGAAGATTGATCAAATAATGATTCCGGTTACCTCCAGACACTTGACATTGCAATAAACAAGCCATTCAAGGATCATTTGTGGATGGAAATCAATGAATATATTGAAAACAGAATGGTGAGAAATCATCGAGGAAATTTTGTAAAACCAGGCTTACAAGAAGTTGTGAATTGGGTAAAAAATTCATGGGACAAAATAACTGATAGTGATGTTTCCAATGCACTACGAACAGGCTACTTAGACAAGAAGTTTTCATTTAACGATAGCTATATCGCAAGACATGAGAGATTCGGACCAATGATTCAACAGGAAATGGATTTGGAAGAAAATCAGAATATAATTCAGAATTTTATTTTATGACAATGTTCCAGAAGAAGATGACATGACTGTAATTGAATCAATTTAAATTTCTGTATTCTGTGTAAAATAAATATTAAATAAAAGTATATAAATATACTTTTATTTTTGCCCTCACCCGAAAATAAGCCCTAGCGCGTATTTTGAACCAAAAAAGAAAGTAAAACAGTGTCTTATTTTCGGAAAAAGACGGTATATAAGTAAACGTTTTTTATTATGTCTTATCTGCATTAAATTCTAAATCAGCATGCAAAATTGTGTTAATGTTATTCACAAATTGAAGTTTAAATTATTTTTTAGAAAATTTACTCACATCGCTTTTGTTGCGTGTATAGGTATATAAATTTACTCACATCGCTTTTGTTGCGTGTACAGGTATATAAATTTACTCACATCGCTTTTGTTGCGTGTACAGGTATATAAATTTACTCACATCGCTTTCGTTACCTATATTACTTAACTTCATCTCTTTTAAGCGGTTACCAGAAAGCACAGATGCAGTGCTACTACACTGATCTCAGGAAAATCTCGTTAAGATCTTCCAGAGGAAAACAATATTTATGATATTACTGCCTTTTTTCTTTCAGTTTCTGGGAATCGGAATGAAAGCAGTAAAGATGATTAGATCGAGGAAAGTTCGGGCCTTGCAGCCTCACTTTTCCTAGCATAAAACAGCTCCTGACAAAGAAAGAAACTTTCTACGATTCATTATTCCTTTTCAAACTCAAACGGATATGAAGCATTAAGTTAATGATTGATCTTTAGGGTCATTATTCTGAAATGCGCTTAGGGTTGTTTAGCCGGGAACGAAAGCTGAATGAAAGGACGAAGAATGTGTCGTTCGGAGCTGAATGACAAATGTTCAAGCCCGCTTTTTTTAATGATGATCGGTTACATCTCAGAGAGCACTTTCTTCCACCCTCTCTTCTTCTGGAATGCAGTGTTTGTGTTTCCTTGTCATTCGAATAGTTTAATGATGTGTAGTATCTTCAGAAAGTTAATTTAATGCATCTCCAGATGTAAATGATTAAACTACAAATGTATAATTGATTTTTTTTATTTCTTTTTCAATATAGGATGAACAAGTTTCCATGTAACTTGCGGCTATCGTTTTAGAGGAACATTTGACATTTTTCTGTAACATTAGCTTTAATACAAAATTGTTTACGAACATATTAAACACAAAATATGTTCTCGAAGTGAAAAGCAATTTAATTACTAACTTGATTTAATTAATTTAAGATCTTTTAAAATTTTACACATGCTGTACAGGTGAATATCACACCATATAGAATGCTATTTAAGTGATATTCTCGTAGTGAATTGTTGAAGTTTCCTAAGAAGCTTGCAGTTTACTTTTTTTCAACTTATAAGGGAAATTCAAAGAAGATTTCTTTTAAAAATTATTCGTGATTACAAGACTATTAGTTACGAGGCGCATTTTACTGTAGCTGTTGTTCCACACACAGATATTGAGATTTTAAGCAATATTGAGATGCAGGAAAGCATTTGCAGGCACTCCACATCAAACTTTCTTAATGACAATCTTCCAGTTTTTTCTTTGCAATACAGTTTAAAACTTTTGCAAGATTTCAAGCTAACTAAAACTTAAATTATTATAAACAGTTAATTAACAATTTTACATTAAACTGTTGGCTTATAAAAGCACCAAAATATGATGGTATTACATAGCATTACTCTTTATTATAATCACTTAAAAATTATTTTGTAAAAAAGCGAACTTCTGTGTTTTATTCGTATTATAAATGTTTTCAAGCTTGTAAGATTTTATATCAAAATTTATATTGTGTTCACATAAAATTGTTTCAAATTTCTATCACATACCTTCGCAAGTTTTACCATCTCTCTGTAATTGGTAGCCGGACAAGCAACTACATACAGCTCTTCCATTGACACTTTGGCATACATGAGAACATCCTCCTTTATCTCGAGCACATGCATCTATCTCTGCCAAAAGTACGCAAAATTTTACTTAAAAGAATACTTTTATAATTCTCAAATACTCTTATAATTCATTCAAATTATTAAATCACTTAAATTGCATTTCAGTTAATACAAAAAATATTTCAAATCTTTTGAAAATACACTGAAAATATATCTCCGCCCCGAAAAAAAAGCACATTGTTCCAGAAACTTCGGAAATGTTATTTTAGTGTCAAATTAGTATTAAAATCCCTTGCCAAGCAGAAAAAGTTTGCAAACTTTGCTTTAAAAGTTAAGTTGGCTCCAAGGTTTCCTACAGCCACTCTGTAAGCTTAACTTACACTTAGTTGTCACTTAACAGAATAATCTAGAACAGCAGATCCCAACTTTTTTCATCGAAGTACTCATTGACAATCTATATACATTTACTGTATTCTCATACTAGCAGTATGTTTGTAATTAATATAATTGCTGCTGTAAATATATCTGACAATAATGCAATTAAAAAGCAGTGGAGTACAACACAGACACATGCGTTTGCATTCAAAGCACAGTTGATAAAATGGATTCAGATAAATATATTGTAGATCTCATAAAAAAATTACATTAAGTCAATCACTACACTGAATTTATTTTCATTAATTTATTTACAAGTGAGAAATTCATTAACTCATTTTTAATATTTTTGTGCCACATTTTACTTAGGGATATATTAACTTTAAATAATACTTACAAAACTCATAACAAATACTAAGTAAATATTTGGTGAGTTCTTTGAGAACTTTTTAATAAGCGTAGCTTCTTGGAGAAAGGTTAATCTGATGCAAGTCGCAGTCTTAAATCTGGAACTGCATTCAGCTTGCTTTGATATTTAATTTTAAATAAATTCACTATATTCTCCTTTTTAAGTTAAAAATGCACTGGTGGACGGTTGCTAAAGACGGATCACAAACGGCCATAGAGCACGTAAAAAAATAAGTGCGTTTGGATGAAATCAAATGATTCCAGAATACTAGGACATAAAAATACTAATTTATTGTGTTCTGAATTCTAAAAGGCTTTGAAAAGTGTTCAAGGGACAAAATACTCATATTGTGCTGAATAAGAAAAAGCGAAAAAAATGCAGTAACTATCCGCAGGTATTCTGGTGTAAGATGCAGGTTCTCGATATGGTCTCTATGGAGGGCGATGTAAGATTCCACACGTCGTGTCATACTCTAAAGAACATTATCCGACAGATGCTGAGGGTAATTTATCCGATTCCTATACGAGGACGAGGGTGTCCCTGTTTATTGGAGGGCACTGTCGATCAGCAAGACTTCTCCCAAAACATCCAAGACACTTTTAGTGGCATTCAGATCTGGAGACCATGCTAGTCATCATAAATATCCTCACTATCTACACACCTGGATAGCAACTGTTCGATGACATGCTGCGTTGTATATGAAAACAAATTTGTCCCCAACAGCACCACGGGACATGCGAAGATGAAGCAGCAAGACATCATTTAAGTACCGTTAGCCAGTCATAGGCCCAGTTGGAATCGCGTGTATGGACGTGCGGCCGTTGATCATAGTGCTGGCCCATATCATGATACTGCATCTCGGATATCGTATCGATCCTTTCCTGGATATTTTCTGGACAATAAGCAGTACTACTCTCACACCAGATCAGTTAGCGTCTATAATGCGGTAACAGACTGAACCTACTCTCGTCTAAGAATAGTACATAAGACCAGTTCTGTCGAGTCCAATTACGATGCTCGCGATACTATTGCAAATGGGTGGTACGTTGCTGCCTGGACAATGGAATGCGTATAGCAGGACGGCTGGACTCCTTGATATAAGCGTCTGGTTACAGGTTTTCGAAAGATTCGCTTGCCAATAGCAGCAACTACTTTTCTACCTCAATGGTTGTGTTGAGCCGGTTATTTTGTCGATAGCTCTATGTACCTATCTTCTGTAGGTAGCATACTGTGAACACGATCCCCCGTGATGCTTACTGTACATTTCAATTGTCTGAAATGATTTCTGAAGCCTTGAAACTGTACTGTGGATGACGTCGAACACCCTAGCAATATCTGTTATTTTTTGCACTTCTTGAGTCTTGCCAATAATTCGGCCACGCGTAAAATCATCTAAGAAACAAGTAATGTCCGGAAGACATACCGAAAATTGCAAGTTCGTAAACTGATTCCTTCCTGCTAAATTTTACTTTTGAATAACAAAGGTCAATACGCGTCAAATCCTTTATCTCTTTTATCAGCGCACCACGTGACGATCAATTTCGACAATCCAAAATTTGCATACGCACAACACTTTCTACTCGGTTCCGCTCTTATGCTAATTTCCACATTTTCCTCCCTTCCATTTTGTAGCATTTTGTCCTCACCAGCGGCCGAGCGGTAACGCCACTGTGTTGCCTAACTAGACTGCAAGCTGAGCTCATTGATGACCTACATTCATTCTTGACTCAAGCGCACCAGCGGCCGAGCGGTCGCTGAACACTGGTAGTTCAGTCCGAGGTTCGAATCCCGCGATCGGGCTGGCTGCATGGGTGTTTTCGTGGTTTTCCCCATGTGTAACGTGTATACGAGCCAGTTTCTCTTAGAAAGTCCTCCACGAAGGCATCCCTCCCTTAAGGCAGATAGCCCTCGAGTGCTTTGCCGTAATCTAATAAACCAAACCATTTTGTAGTCGCTTCAGCTGTTACTAACATCCGTTCTTAGCAATTGTCCAGCAGTGTAAAATTAAGCTCCTTTTACCTGAGAGTTGGTCGTATTTCTTTCTGCTATCTGCCCAAAAGATAATAAAGGATTTATCTCTGAATTTGGCTTTTAAAATAACATCATTCGAAAGTTTGATCAACTTTTCTTTTTTCTTGAATGGTAATCTTTGAATCAGGACAGAGAAATTCTTCGAACGGTTTTGTGATCCAGTGCTTTTATTTCCATGTTTCGAGATGCATCTCTTAAAAGATGATTTTTGATTTCTTTTAAATTTAGTTATTATAACATTCATTAAAATGGATAGACAAAGTTTATTGATTGGAATAAGAATAAAACAGTAAAGAAGTGAAACACTTAACCTAAAGTGCTAACCTAAGCCTTTTCCAATGAACAAATTGCAAAAATTGTAAATTTTGATGCAATTTTTTCCGAAACCGCTCTTATAATAAAATGCTAAATTTAGATTTTTATTTCCCAAAAATACTTGGTAATATTTAGAAACTTTAATCTAGTCACAACCTCTATGATTTGAAAATTGGGAACAATACCCTTTAAATAAAAATTTACGTTGACCAAATTTGAACTGCCGGTTGAAGAATTTACCACGGGGGAACCACTTTACATCTTATGAAGGATAAAAAAACATAGAATGAAGATTTGGTTTCTCTTCGTGTAGTGTTTTGAAAATTTTTGTGTTTTTAGGTTATATAAAATTACTCAGTTTAATAACGTTATCAATATCGATTTTTAATTGACCACTAAAATGCTTAAATTTTAGGCTTTGCTTGCACATGCAATAGTTATTCAACGTCAGATGGAGGCTTTTTACAACATGTACGCAAAATATTATCTGAAACCTTCATTCAGGCTTAACTCTACAAGTGCATGGCTTTCAAAAGTAAGTACAACTACGGCATTTTCATTTAAATAGCAATTAAACACATTAAAATACCCTCATTTCTTATACGTTATGATCGACGATGATGAAGAAAAATGTCTCCTTCAGCTTCACTAGCTTTGAAACTCTCTACAATAATTTAAACATCAGAGAAATAAGCAACAATCTTCTTTCAATCTTTGCAAAGAGTAAAGAAATTATTATTTTTAACTTCACCTATTATTATCGAGATACTATCCTCATATATGATACTAAATTGTTTGAGAAAGGGATAGGTTTTGATTTTCTTACTTATTCTTTTCCAAGCATACATAAAACAGCAGTTTTTCACAGAAGGAAACGTTACGGCATTTTAGCAATATACTAATTAGTATTCTAGAAGGTTTCAAGCGGATGTTTTTGTCTTTTCAAATAACTACAAGAAGGTTTATTCTGGTGTTTCACTAGGCAGTGATAAAACAACATTCTGTATTTTGTATTGAGAGTTTAATATAATTGCATTGTCTTCACCACGGTGTAACACTTCACCAAATGCAGTACGCTGAGGGACAGCCGTCATGCCCGGTATATGAAAATACTTATTAGATGTATTTATCCGATAAGTTTTATATAATCAAATAACTGAAGTTTTTCCTTTTTTTATATGTTCAAGGACTTGAGGACCGGCTACATAATTACCACATTTTGCTCTAAACTGTTAAATATGCGCCAAAAAATTCTTGGTCAGTTGTCGATATCCACACTACATTTCGAGCTTTGTATTTTTGCAAATTTTCTTCCTCTGCTCCTGATAATAAACGAGATGAAGCATTAACAAACAAAATGATATGTAAAAGGTACGAGGAACTCAAATCGAAATCTGTGCTCACCAGCGGCCTAGGGTAAAGTCACTGAACATAATTCTGGTGAATTCTGGGTTCGATTCTAAGAGAATGAACTGGCTGTACGGGCGTTTCCGTGGGTTTTCCCTATGTGTAATATATACACCAGCCAATTTTACTTAGAAGGTCTACTCGAAGCATCCCTTTTGAGTGGGCAGGTGGTTATCGCGTGTTCTGCCATAATCAAATAAGTTAAATCGAAATCTACTCACAGGAGCGAAATGTAATCACATGAATCACTAATCTTTTCGTTTGTACGAATATTCACTTGTTATAGTCAGGCAGCTGTTGAATAAAGCAATGATTGCAAACAGAAAATTTCTTGGTGGATTTGCATGGTTATAAATCACATTTAGACACTTGGGAGTTAAGAGACTAGCATTGTTGCCATCATTGTTTCATAAATTTTTGTGAGTTATGAATTTGTTAGCAACTCTTCAGTTTGGGGGTGAAATATTTTTATGCGTAACTGACGAAAAATAGTATAACTATCTAGGGAAAATGTTATAGAGAAATT